CCTCGCAGCCGGCGGCCGCAGCTGCTCTGGGTTCGTGCTCTCCCCCTGCAGCGGCGGGGGGGAGGGCACCGAAACGGGTTTAAGGAGCCAGCAACCGCCAGCAGCGAGGAAAACGCTGTCCCCGGCCTCTGAGGGGGCAACTGCCTCAGGGTGTTGGCGGGAGAGGCCTCCGCGGCTGAGCCCGCCTGCTCCGCCGCGTACAGAGGCACCTGCCGTCGAAGAGCATTAAAAAGGCTTCTAGAAGCCTTGTTTTGTAAGGATTTTTCCTTAAAAGGAAAGGATTTTGTAAGGATGTTCCTTAATACCGTGTCGTAGGTGCGTCAGACTCCACTCTTATTGTCCCTTAAAAAATATATATAAAGCCCTGTAAGTCGTAATGCTTAATTTGAAGCACTACGTGCTGTTTTCAGGCCTTTTTTTTTTTTTTTTCCCCCACGCCGAACCTTCTATGATTTTTCTTTAACTCAAGTATAGGATAAAGAATTTCAGAAGCTGCGAGTATTCAAAGTGAGCGAGGACACCTCCCAGGCGGAGTAAGACGTTGCTGGAAGCAGATTTTTCGAAACCACGCAGTAGGTGGCACTGATTCTCCAGGGATGCCCTCAGGACTGGGCCAAGCCTGGGAGGGCAGGTGGCACAGACACCGCCCTGATCATCGGAACCCGCCGGAGGTACTGCGGGACGTCTGAGCCCCCTTCCAGAGCCGCTCCAAGAATACGGCACTACATTTGGAAGTCCTCAAGTTTGGGAACATTAGCAGTGTTCCACTTCAGTACAACGTTGTGTTAAAGTAAACCCACAACACTGCTCTTCTCAAGCAAGACCGTAATAGTTTCCATCTAATTTTTCAAAAACCTATCAGAAACAAATCATAAATGCAGAAACAATGTCTGGTATTACTGTTACCATTTTTATTTGCCCACTAAATCTCCAAACTTGATAGAAAGACAAAACCTACTTGACAAAATACTTGATAGAGATTGCAAAGCAAAGGAAAAAAAATCAGTAGACTCATAAGATAGTTTATAATTTGTAAAATTAATTTCATCATTTCAGTAACAGTGCCCTCCTGCTCTCAAATACGTGTAGAACATTTCGAATCCAGTCTTCAGCTTTTTGAGCTCTGCAAAATACCAGAGTATTACTTAGCTAATTATTCATCACCTAGAGGGCAGCAAAGCATTCTAATAGTCCAACTTCCCATCCAGTGCACAACACACCATGTCAAACTCTCTCATGTTTTAAGGAAATGTTGCCATTCTGAATGTAATTCCCAAGTCTACCTTTATGGAGCTCATAGAAATTCATTACAAAAGATAAACGAAAATTATTTTTACTGTTTGTACAGCAATGTAAATGTGACTAATGTTACCACAGAAAGAAGAAAAAGTGGTTTTCATGGGAAACCCAGTATAGCTTTAAAAAGATTCTGTAAAATTAACACTGCATTATTCAAAACAACAACAACAACAACAATGCTGTGGTGGCATTGCTACAGACTCTTAACACAATTTAAATCAAATTCAAGCTTTCAAAATCATGCATAGACCAAGGACTTAAAACAGGAATATACATACATTACAAAATTTGTTCATCTGATCAGAGTATTGTAAGGGTCTTACCAACACACAATTAAGAATAAGGTCTAGCTAGATTTGCTTCTATTTGTGCAGTGGGAATAATCAAAGCATTGTGTTAGGGAGACAAAATTGGAAAGTCTCTATCTTGATTCTTAAATCCCAATGTGAATGTAAACTGCTGGAAGCTGGAAAAAATGTATTCTTCTTAAGTGTTTCATATAAAATCTTTAAAGAAGATGAATCATGCCAACCTCATTTTGGGTTACGTTTTTTTTTCAGGCAACACATTTCAGCATCTAAGCATATAAAAATCTAAGATACAACTAGATTTGTTCAGAAATTTTTGAGGAAAATCTTATTTTCATGAAAACTTTAAAAGAAACTTCAAGTGTTCTGACATTTCCTCAGTTTCCCAGCAATTTCTAGGCATAACACCATGAGTGTTAATAGGGAATGAGCAGGAGAAAAAATACAGAAATGAAAGACCACAGTAACTTTAATGAGAAATTCCCCAAATAAGGTCTATTATTTGTCACTAGAATGCTTCCCAGATTTCGGACACCAATCTGTTCTCAGAATTCATTATATAGAGTATTAAAAATCCAATTTCACTCTTAAGTTGGTGATTGAGGCTCTAGTCCAGGAAAGCACTTCAGTACTTTTTAGTTATATCCCAGTTCAGAAGAGTATTCTGAGCTTGTTAGTATGTGCTCATGTCCTAGTATTTGAGTGTGTGTAAATCTGTGGAGCCACATTCCCATAATGCTGGACACGGATATGGGTCAGGTACCAAGTTTCAGATTGGATGGCCAACCTGTCCACTGGGGGAATGGCTACAGCAGGTCTTGTATCTGAGTGAGGCTGTTGCCACACTTCAGGAAAAGTCAAAGGTCCCAACAGCTTCCATGGCCTCTGTGCAGGTATTCATGCATAATAATTTCTTGTCCTTTCATTATGACTTACGTGGTAAATTCTTTCTGCCTTACTCTTAATGAATAGTCTCTTATGTTGTGCATAATTCCACTGAAGTCGGTGGAGGCTACCAGTGACATAAAGTACAGCTCAAAGTGACTGAACTGTCTAAGTCTTTTAATATAACCAACTGTCAGAACATAGAAGAAATACTAAATTCCAGTCATTAATTATTAAATGAAATCTTGGCACGACTTTACATCATACAAACCTGGGTATTTACATATGCTTGTCAACAATCCCCAATAATTCTGAATTGTATTAAGATGGCCTATCTGCCAACTACTGATGAAAGATGGATGTGGTTTTGTTTCACAAATGATTATTTGAGAAAGCAGTCTTATCATGATTGGTTTTATTCTTCAAACAGGTTGCAGCAACAGCTGTTCACATTACTGAAGTAATGAACTTGTTAAGAGTGGAACATTTTCTAATCTTAACATACAAAGGTTGAAAACACTGAAACTAGAACTTAACTTTCTCATTATAGGTGCCAGCATCTGCATCTGACACAATGTTTGATTTATTAACAATTTTCTTGTCCCCAGTACATAGACAAACATAAAATGGAAAGTCTTAAGGAGATAGTTATCCAACGTAGCTCTCCATTGTCTATATTTCTTAAAAACACTCTCCACTCTCTTCAGTAATAGCCTCCATCAACATGCATTATTTTGTAATGATATTGTGACATAAAAATACGGCTTCCTTGTCCTAATACCTTAAGTGCCTACATTATTTTAGAGTAGCTTTGGATCTCTCTTTAAAGACTCCTTAATGGGAGACTTGTCTTTGGGCTTAGTTTTCACAAAGTGCAAAGTGTTAATTTCTCAGCCTCAAACCAGGACAGACACTGGAGCACAAGACCTTGCAAGCTAGATTGTAACGTGGAACACAGCCCACTCTTTTCATCCCTAGTCTGCAGACAAAGATAAAACCTGAGGCTGAGGCTGAATAACTTGGTGTCCGTGTCTACCAACCTGTCATGGGCAGTGACAAAGACTTCAGTGCCAGATAGAGCAGTGATGCCCTCAGCAGCAGGAGGGGGAGGACCGGCGCTGAATACAAGGATCTGGAGAGCTTCAGTACTATTTTTAACTCTTTGACAAAATTTCTGAAATTTTTGAGACATCTCAGACACTGTCAGAGACAACAGCAAATGGATCACTCGTTCCATCCAGCATGACATTTTCATGTTTCCATAGAACAGTGGGCAAAGAGATTAGTTTCACCTCATCCTCCTTCTTGTGTAAATGTGTAAACATAACTAAAAAAATTTTGCCACTGACTAAGACTGTGACTTTGAACAAAAACCTTATTACACAGACTGTAATTAATCTGTTCAAAACAAATGTTTTACTTGGGGAAGTAGATCTGCCCACATATTTCTCGAGTGTGTTAATGGAGGATGGTTGTGACATATCCCCCCTAGTTCAAAACTGTATAATAGTCATTAATAGTCGCACTTTGTGATTCACACATCAGCAGAGAAAGAGGGGTTGGAATCATGTTTCATGGTTTACTGTAGTGCTGAGAAAACGTGACCCAAGTCCCACCTGGGATACTTGTGACTCATCCTTTGGGTTCCTTCCTCAGAAACTGCTTATTGTTTCCAAACACGAGCGTTACTAATTCAAACTTCCCTCACTGTTTGGAGAAGCACACCAGAGACGCATGTGTCAGCGTTCTTCTGTTCCCCTTGCAGGGCTTGCTTTAGACAGTAGCCTCCTATTTGCTATTCGAGTAGGCAACTTAAAAGTACGGAGCTTTCTTATTGCACTCCTGAAGACCTCTATGCTGCACGCGTTTCCAGGAGGAAATCCAAGTAATTAAAACCTAGGGTAGGTTAAGAAGAACCAGCCAAAACATTAGGATAAGCGAAAACATGCATATAAACGGTCTCCTCCGCGCACGCACGGGCCTGTCTCTTATACACA